GAGCAAGAGGGTTTATCAGTAAAGGAAACGCTGTGGGGTGTACATGCAGTAGAATCCCGGTTTATCGCACGCTCTGTTTTTCGGAATTCCCGATAATTCGAACCAAACTTAACTTCCCTTCAACGGTCAAAAGCTGTAATCTCACCCCCGATTTTTAGACTTCCCGTTAATTCGAACCAGTTTGCTTTTTGCAAGGTGGTTCGAAAAATCGGGATTCTTCTTTATTTTGTTTGCCCCAAAACCGAGAGTAGAGTAAACAGTTGAGTTCAAGAAAGAACGTTAAAAACTTCCTACTTGTCTCCTTCAAGAGCATGCATAAGTTCCTTAAAAATTACCCTCTTATGAAAATGTCGAGAAAGGTGAACTTTAAGGGAACATGAGATTTTAAAACGTAAAATGGTTTATTTTTCCTTGACCAGAACATGGGTGCCCAGAAAAAGCGGTAGATATTTTCCAATGAAAGAATTTTTGAGTAATCAGCAAAGTATTAATAGGATGTACACTTGGTTACAACGTTTTCTTTCGTCTCGTTCTTTTCATACCTACCGCGGAAAAATCCCACTGAGCACTTAATCGCTGAGCGAGAACAGCTCTACCTATTTTTTACCCAGCTACCATCTTAATTTTGAAAGGATTTTTGGAACGGATCAGTTCTGATCCAAAGAGTGTTATCACTAAACTTTGAGGGCAAGGTATTTACAAAACAAACAACACTACAGCTCACAAGTGTTGAAGGATTATAGTTGAGAAGAACTGCCATTGCGTATCTTCAGCGTTCTCAGGGAGTGACCAAGATTTTATCTACCCAGAAACATTAACTCGGCCGCTGGTGCACTGATGTACTTAATGATCCTGATCAAAACGGAACTGCACTTTCGCGCGATAAAAAGTCATAGATCCATCTACAGAGATTCAAAAACTGGGTCTCTTAGAAAATATAATACCATCTCAAGGCTTCTCAAAAACATCTCCCAATGAGACAAGAAGATGACCTAATCCAATCAAGTTCTCAAGGCGCTCGTTCACAGCTTAAGAAATGTAACATTGTGTATTTCTGTTTTGTGTTCTTGTAGGTTGTACATAGAGCAGTGCCGGTGTCCTTATATGCTATGCAGTTTTTTAGTTGAATAATACTAGTTACTTCTAGGCGCCGCTTCTCTTTCTAAGCCATTTGACGGACGAAGACCGAGTCACCGATTCAATTGTAAACGAGCAGGTCTTTTTAACACAATAGAACCTTACAAGCAACATCTTGTTACAACCGTATCACAAAAGAAATAAGTTCAGACAAAATTGAAAATGTTTGACCTAAAAATATAGAATAATCATAATTACTTATCTATTGAGAATTGTAACCGAATATTTTAGAGGTCTTCCTTTCCACTGGTGGTCAGTTAAAACGAGAACTGATGTGCTTCTCAATTCATTCAGGGTTCAGATATTGAAATTGTTCGATTTTTGGTTTGTTTAGGACGTGGATGGGGAGGGTTAGAAGTTACCCGACACCAAAGCTGAATTTGTCCACGCTTTTATTCGATTAGGAGCTTTTATACCTTTTGGTGAATATCCACAGATGACAAGAATAGTCAACCTACAGCAGGTTGAAAAATAAAGACGTAGTGTGTCCGCGCCATAAAAAAACATTATTTCTTGAATGTATGATAACATTTAACTGGCCGAAGTATTGCAATAGAGTACCGAAACTCAAACATAAGGTTTAGTTCCATCCAAGCTGTCCTGATGAGTTTTAAATTTCGTCTTGTGTGAATTTTAATAAAACGATCTTGTCGCGCCAGCCATTAGCGCCCTACATGACAGTTCAGGGACAGTTCGGTCAAATAATTGGAAGGCGTTGTTTCTCGGGGATAAGGAATCGTTTAGTAACGTTAATTATGATGTCTTTCTAACTAATTTTTCAAAACACAACGATATTTTCTCAACAGTCCTTACCTTAGCATGATGAAATTGGTCACAGCTTGAGATGTCCTCTTCGCATGTTTGTAAATAGTGTGAAATAATCTCGCTGTTTTGTCTTGTCTAATTCCCCTCAATTTGAGGATTAAGTACTACCTTCAGCAAGGGTGTAAATCGACCCAATACGATTCCCAAATGTGCTGTGATGCCTTTTTCGAATAAAAATGCGCTAGTTTTTCTGGGAGAAGTGGCCTGGTTAGGTACACTGGAAAAAGCCCTTGTGTGAGTTGTTAAAAATTCTTTCGCAATTGACCGCGTTGTTCGGTGCTAGCGAACTCGCCTATGATGACAACTATTTTTGGCTTGCCGGCACTTTAAATTCTTGACCAACTCGAATTTTAAGCTCGAGCAATGAAGGTACAATTAAGCTCAACATACATTTACTGGCCGCCAACACCGGGGGTCAAAAAACTCCTAATTCTCTACCTTTTATTACTCATTAACTAAGAGTTTCCCTTTGCCAACGCAGCTGCGTGAAGTGTGTACTGCTGGTGGCTCGCATGGAAGTCGGCCAGTGCATGGACGGGACTTGGATATATCCAGCACTTTGGCGTCCAATTCTAACACATTTAAGATAATTCATAAGAAGCAAGGAGTCAGCTCATTCAAAATCGTCTTTCTTTTGCTCACACTTCAGTGAAATAAAAAAATACTCCGTGTTGATAAAGCATTTCAATGTCGGCCGGTGTAGTCACCTGTGAGGTCGATTCCCCTCTTTAACTTACACATTATTCATAGCCAGAAAACCCATTTTCCTTTAGCGCCGGGTCATGGCAAGAAATAACTCACCACGGCTGTCGCAAGAAAAAACACTAGAAAAGATTTCCTTCGTACGATTACGTTTGATACGAGAATCACGTATTTCTTGTGTTCCATTCTCAGTTGTCTTCTTACAGACTTCTCGACAGAAAATTTTTGTTACAAGACATATATCTTTATCGTTTCGATAGGAACCTCAAATAACAACTGGTATGTTGGGAACGTGGCCAGCTACTTTGAAATGCTTTTGTGGTAAATTTTCTTTCTGTACTTTTCGTTCATTTTCAATTTAGGTTTTCTTTTAAAGAAACGACCCATTATATTGTTCCTAATACTCGGTTGCAAATAGTAAGGTTTTTTTACTACGCCATATAAGAATCAAGAAAAAATATCAGGGTAATTTGAAAATGATTTTGTGACTAACATATATCTGCTTTTGTGGGAAGCAATAAAGTAATATAACATTGATATAATATTGCCTTCGTTTATTTAAAATGGGTGTTTTATCGTGTTCACTAACTGAAATCATGGTGATGTGTAAAATGTATATCCATCAGCAGAACAGCTTATTCTCTCGCGTCTTGGCATTTTCCGCCATAGTTAATGATGTTTCTTTTTTTGCTTTTTTAATACCAAAAGTTTGTAGGTAGTACATTAAACCAACTGATCACTGACAATGTTCTTTTTTTCATTCCTTAGTGTTACTTGTTACTAATCAAGTTCGCATGCAGAACAGGTTGTACGATGGCCCTTCGAGGTAAAATTTGACTTCGAGACGGGCTCTTCAAAGTCGAGTGAGTTCGATGATGGGGTACAGGCGCTTACGACAAAAACAAGTGCTTGAGAATTTGCCGGCTCTTCACAGCTTTCCCGCGCTGGGCAATCAAAATTTGTCCCAACAAACTTACGTTGTTTCCCCAAAAGATTAACACTCTCTGAACAAAGAAGTACAAGTAGAATTATGAATGTTTTATTCATAGTGTTTTCACGCTAATTTGTCTCGCTTTCTTCCATTAACAAGGCCTATGGTCAAGTTTTTGTGCTAACAGAGACACTTTCGTCAAAGGAAAGTTTGATGTTACAAGCAAAATGGTTATATACAATAACAATTGCTTTTCCTAAGCCTCTGAGACTACGATCCTTTTTCATTTACTTAAAAATCTCTTGTAACAATTGGCCGTGTTCTCTTTGTTGTCTGTAGTGTCTTGGTTCTTATTTTTCCTTAATCCGAAAGCAAACGAAAGTTGATTCAATTTACTAAGACTCATTCTTATAAATTACCTAACTCCTCCTCTTTTTTCATCGAGCAAACACAACCGACAATCAATTATGGCTCTCACACGCTACGCTTCATATCACATCCAAGGCCCAGAACAACCTATTCCTAGACCTAACCCGCTAAAAATTGAAATGAACCGGCGCTGAGATCATAAGGGCACTTTGTTTGGTTGTGTGATTTCATAAAAGCGGGTTATAAACAAAGAGGGAGAAGCGTCAAGGTGCAGAGAGCATCTTATAAAACCCTTTAGTTGAAATAGACATGTTGTTTGCCAAACATTGCATCGTCAGTTTTGATTCACCCAGTCTTAGTCCTACTGCGGTTCTACTAATTTGTGACAGTTCATGCGGTAATGCGAAGCGATTCTTTGCCGAAGAAACTAAATAATGACTGCTGACATTTATGCCAAACTCAAACATTCAGCGTTTTATGTTGAGACGAGAAGAATTGTAATTATAATTTAAGGTTGGCTTGGAACAGATTATCCTCGAACAATGATCACTTCTTATCTATTCGTCTTAATTTCAGACATGCATTTACTAAAAGCATTAAAACAATTTTTACAGCTACCTAGCAACTTATTCTAAAAAAATACCTGAGAAAATCAAAATTTCTCTCGCTAAAGTGCAAGTTTGAAATTTTTCAACTTAAAAAAAGACATGCTCCTTAGCTATTTTGAATCTTAGAACAAAATGTTTTCGATCTCAACTGATGCGATTTTGCAACAGCTGCTGTCGCATAAAAATACTTCTCCGCGTTTGATGAACGTGAACTCCAGATGGAACCCTTACAATATAATATAAAAACATAAAATTAAGATCAAAGTGTATGATTCTTTAAATATATAAGTCTCTCCCTCAAAAATTTCTTATAACGCCGGCATATAGGTTTAAAATTTACTTTGCATCTTTTTATGGTGTCAGTGGAGGTTACCGCATTGTTCCACCTTTCATTTCGCACAACACGCGCTGTACAAGCAATGTTTACGCTACCAGTTCCAATATGGATTGGTAGGAGCAATGTACGATGATGATACAGGAGGAAAGTGGTAAAAGTCCGTTGGATCGTGTCGTAAATATCCAAAGTTATTAACCGGTGTGCCATAACAAGGTTGGCCATCTCGTACGAGAACAGGAACAGGTACAGTTCTTGGAGCAAACAGGGGCGATCCGTCATTCATTCCTCCTTTCTCGAAGCTCTGTTTCTTATATTTATATCTGTGATTTTGAAACCATATTTTTACCTGCGTAGGGCTCAAGTTGATTATTCTCGCAAGCTGCTCGCGCTCGGGAGCGGATAGGTATCGTTGTTGACGAAACCGTCTTTCAAGTTCATACGTTTGCGCCTTGGTAAACAGTACACGGCGTTTGCGTTTCTTCGGCGGATCATTCAAGTCGTCTTGTGCGTCCTCTTGTATAGACAATTCATGGTTGCCTTTTGAAGAACTTGAACCATTCTCTGTTGAATTCGAGTGCGAATCTGTGGCATCAAAGAAAATAGAAAAATTTTGTGAACGTGAGAACTATTTAGCTACAGTATACCTAAAGTATAGTAATTATTGGAACTGTATGAAAGTTATAGGAAAGTAAGTGGAGAACCCTTTACCCTCTACACGCGGCACAAACAAAATACCCTCAAGAACTCCAAGCCAAAAACACTCACAATAATAGTTTTACAGTTTAGTCATTTGTTCTTCGTTTGGTTAATTGTACCCTGGAACAGAAAAATCACGGGTTTATTTTTGCCGGGAAAGAAATCGAATTGCGTGCTTAAAATTTCTTTATCTGTGTTTCAAACTCTGCAGACTAAGCCTCTCAAGACTCGCGCCGCGTATTTCACCATCTATTAAGTTTAGCACTTCAAGAAGTTTGCAGGTTTACATTTCGCTCGATCAAAGATACAAAATCAAGTCCATCCTTACTTGTATATGAAGCCTCTTGGGTTTGATTACACACTACAGGGCCACATGAAGAACTACGAGTATTTCCGTCAAGACACTGGTAATTCATCGTCGATTCTTGGCTAGTTTCGCTCTTGGACAAACATAAACCGTTCTCGGGCAGGTTAAGAATATCCTTCACGGAGAACGAAGTCATCTCGAGCGCTCGATCGTTTGTGTACATGGATCTCAAAGGGCTTCCATTACTTGGCCTGGGGCTATATTACAGTCATGCTCTATCCGCCGTGCGCCGCGGTTCGCAACAGCTTCTTATAGATCGGGGCGTGCCCAGACTCTCAAGTATTGAACAAGATGTTTGACATTAAACAAATGTTACCCAAATTCGCCAAAGTCAACTTCTATTGATAGGTTAAGGTGGTGACGAAGTTGACATCACAATTAATTAGAAAGATAGCAATTGAATACCCTGTCACACGTAAAGCCCTTTCGAATGACAGGTCTGCCCTAAAAGGCTCCTTTTGACATGTCACGCTGGGTGGGTTTACCACTAGTGCTTCAATCCCCCGCTTCGTATTCAAACAACAGTACTTCCATATTCAATAGGTCACTTAGTTATTCGAATTCTGACGTCTCAAGCGAAATTGAAGAGACCCACTTTTCTCAGTCTAGTTTGTCAAGCCATCGAACGGCTCATAACCTCTCATCCACGCCTCTCCAATTTTTGAAAGATCGATGTAATCGAAATCGAAAGCTTGAATACCGACTAATGGGCGATCGGAAGAAGAACCACCGACGGCTCATTACCTCCCCACCCAGCCTCTCAAAATTTTGAAAGAACGATGTAATCGAAATCGAAAGCCTGAATACCGGCTAATGGGCGATCGGAAGAGGTAGGTGTTGGATTAGTGATAAAATCTGAAAAAAATTTGCACCTTTGCTAATCGCTCAGGCTCTTTGTTATAGTCTCACATTTTTTAGCTGAAAATATATTTATTATAACCGCCCACATTTTGATATAGGTAATCAGGGCGATTTTTCGTGTTTGTCGTACTTTGTTTTTATTTCTCGAGTATAGACGAGAACCTGGGACTCGGTTCAAGTGGCTGCTTATTTTAGTGCAAATGGATCTCTCTCAGTTGTTACCGGGTGTTTTTACCGACAGCCACAAAATGGCATTCTACATAATACCAAGAACGTTTGAAAACTGTCATCGTTTAATTATAAGAATGTTCGTTTGATTGTGTCCTAATAAGCTCAAGGTTAATGGCTTTCTCTGTGAAAAACGTTTTAATATGTTATGCTTTTGCATGATGAAATCCTGAGTTGTAAAAAGTTATAAACAGTAGATTAAGGAAGTACAAGGTTCATGACTCGGATGGGTGAAAATATTCTCCCCTCGGTACAAACAAGAAAAAAGGAGTCTTTAAGCTTTGGAGTCGAATTAAAAAGGAACGTTGTAGAGCATTTTAACAATACAGTGGGAAGGGGCAGTTTACATGATAAGTTATTCTGTGACAATTTTCTTTTGAGGCCAGCTGAAATGTTCTCGAGTTGTATTTCCGTGAAAATTGAGTACATTATCTGAAGTTACTCGTGGTTACAAAGCAATTTGTTGAGTACTGCTATTGAGCTCAGCCAGGTGCGGCGACGACCGAAGCGACTTGTGGATGCAGTTTAGCACTTACCCCGCGCCTTACTCGCTGTTGTTAGATTGAAATGAGACTAGAAATCGCCAGTAAAGTGAGCAGGTAGGTTGAATCATATGCAGTGAGCGATTCAGCTGCTGGCCGGCGCCGCGCCGTTTGAGTGGACCACGAGGCACTTGGAATCGTAGGCGTCATTTTGAATAAAGCAACCATGCAAGTACGTGTGGAGCCCTTTTCATTCGCAAAAATATCCAAGTTAAAAATAAGTTACATGTTTAAAACCGAAACGTGACAAATTTTATTTTGTAACATAACGAAAAACAAACAATGGTACAGAACGGTGCTGCTCTCTCGTTCCTTTATTCGACTGGTCACATTGCGGCTCACATACTCGAAGGTAAGCTAGCCACATGGCTGTGCTAAAGTCTTCTGGCGGTGGCGTCTCTCGTGGAAAGTGAATTCGTTCAGTGCGGCGCGCAGGTCTCTCACGCGACTGAGTCGGTCCCGTGCCCCTCTAAGTACCTGTAGCAACCCTTGTGTAAGAAATGGCGATAGGTACAGGTAAGGTCTTCTCTGCCTTTGTATTACCGAAGCTTTGTAAAGGACCATTATGTTTTGTCATCTCGCCCGTAAATAATCATTGCCCCCTTCTTGTTATGAGTTGCACTGAGGAAAAACATCCCCCAAAAACCACCTTTGTCGAGATTTCTGGGGGAAATGTGGCCTTACTAAGATTTTGATTATGAAGAGATTGTCTCATCAATATTTTACACTCAAAAATGAGAGAAAAGACGAAATGTTGTACAAGAGGGTATTACGTCGCTTAACATGTTTGCTCACTAACCAGGCCATTCAAACAAACTGTTTGTTAATGTCGCAGTGTGAGTGACATAGTCGCCATTATAGCATTAAGCTAAAGATATTCTAATTTCGTCTTGTGAATATCTTAGATCAATACTTAGCCCGACGAATAAAGTGTTTTTGTTTTCTCGCGTGTTCCGTTCACCTTTGTGACTGACACCAAAACGCAACAAAGCCAAGGAGTTCATAAATAAACATCATCACAAGAAACATCTAATACTTTTCAATTAGGAAGGATTAAAAGTTTTACGCTCAGAGTTTTAAATATATTTGCTTTTTATTAGCTAAAGAAGAGAAATGAATGCCTCGTTAATTAATGCACAAAAGATGTAATATGAAAAAAAAAAAGAACCAAAACAAAACTAGTTGGAATGGAATCATGTGTTGGCTGGGATGACACGATGAATTTTGCTGTCCCATTAGCACCCGTTCTTCGAAACAACCACTAATTATTGTTTAAAAATTCGGTGGCTTGGGATTTAGCCACTCTGTAAATGGGTAAAGAGAGATCGTATTTCATTTTAAAGTGCCGCCTACTTTTCCGAGAGCGCAGGTTGAAAGCCTTTGAAGAGCGACAAGACGCATTATGAGTTGTAAACATCTTAAGTTCTCAACAGCGTATAAAGCTTTCACCTAAACATGCACTCTAACGGGGCGACGAGCGCTCTTGAGTACCTCATGGCGGTGAATTGTTGTGCTTTGGTGAATATGCTTAACAAAACATTGAAGTCCGACGTAATATTTTATAGGTACTACAGGATGCTTTGGTGTGAATTCCTCTAATAAACAATAGTTACTCTCTGTGTTCGAATGTTCATTGTTGGTAATGTAAGATAATACGAAAAATCATTAGAGTTTTATCTAAAGTTTTAAAGATGCATTAACAGATTCGATATTCGTTGTTCAAATCAACCAAGTGATATTGCATCCGAACACGCAACAGAATAATTTTTTAAAAAGAGGATTTAAAAACAATTTCACCCATGTAAAATTGTTTTTTTCTGTTACTGGACCAAATAATTTTACGGTGGTAAAAGAGAGTAATCAATTTTTAATGGTCCCTACGAAGAGAATTACTTCAACTCCTCTCAAGTTACTCCTCAAAAATCATCGGCTCAAGTCTTCATTTATTAAGATTCTTTGAAAACCTTTTAACCGAATCAACAGTCCGGTCTATGGTCTACTTAAAATTGATGTCTGAAAGTTGACTGAGATGGTAAAAATTCTTTTAGATGTGTGGGTAAAGAAACGAAAACGGATGTGACTGCGTGATTTCTTTTACCCTCAAGGCAGCTGGCAATGAAGAGTCAGTTATTCAGGTAAAACTCTCTTATTTCATTAATTTTATTCAAATTTCGAACCTGCGAGCGTTAATAAAGGTACAATGAATAGATTCGATTTTTTTTCTGCATTGAACAGAAGCGAGAGCGAGATAAAAACCACCAGAAAATAGTCATGAAGTGACGGCCGACATATTAACCCTTAAAAATTAGTCGGGTGAATTCAACGTAATTTAACGGTTAATTATGTCGGGCTTTTAGCCTTTTCGCACATTTATTTAAGGAGAATTAGTCTTTTTATGTGTTTCATCCATGTCTTGAAGAGTTTTACCTGTTCAGGGTCCTAGATATAACGAAAACTCTCCTTGCTTTACAAGCTCGCATGCGAATTGAACCACCTAAGATTCACCGTAATTCTCACATCTAAAAGCCATACGAATGTTTGTAAGCACAGTCAACGGCCAGGATATAGTAGTTTGTATCTAGCTAACTATATCTTGCCGGAATCAGCATGCCTAAGTAGCTGAAACTGTCAGAATACATTCGACCAGCCCTCTATATTCTAGCCATCAATTGCGCACGGATGCATTACTCGCGTCGTGCGATTTCAACAAGATATTGATGTGAATTGTCAAAAACGATCACCCAATGAGTAAACAAGAAAACGTCCTTTCCGCGATGTTCAAATATGTTTCTGTATCTGTTTTCATTACAACCATCTCGAACGCTAAGTGGAAAGACACGATGTTTCCGTACGTCAAATCGTCCCGGAGTCAGTATAAGAATCCTTCCAGATGTACGCCTAGCACACCCAGTAGCTTCAGTACGAGAGACCGAGTAGGCAGCGTTACGCGAAATTGTGCCGGACCAGTTTATGGATTTTGGAGAAATTTTTATCTCTTGTCTTTGGACTGAATATTGTTGAAACTTTGGAGGCCACGTGGAAAGGCAAAAGGACTGATCTGAATATGGAAGGTGAGTCGTTGTCCTTTTGAGAAACCGGGCGTGTGGGCGGACGGATATCTCGGGCAGATTCTGCAAGCAAACTAAAAGGCGTGTTTACATCGCATACCTAGCTAAACACTCTACAGTAGTCCAATATCTCCTGCACTTTAGAGTTCTATAAATATTGCTGAAAAAGACAGACTGTTTCAGATGTCGTATGTAAATAAGTAAGGTTCGAGTTTCCCGATAACAAAGACTTGATGGTGCTAAGCGGGTAACATTTTGAACTGAAGACTCTGAAGACTGATATGCCCCAAGGGGGAATCAAAGGCAGGGTATAATTCTATAAAACATTTCTAAAGAAAAGTAGAGATCACAAATAAAGTTACATAAAAAGATACAATTTAAATGGAACGTTTATACAGTTCATAATCACGAACAATGATGCAAAGAAGGCTTTTAATGTATTCCCTGTGTATTAAAGCCTATTC